ATAGTTAAAAAGAACATCTTGGGAGATTAAAAAGTAGCCCCAAGAAGTAAAGATGTAAAAAATATAATAAATATCAAGTTATGAAGTTAATCCCAGTTTATATAATATTTATAAAGTACCTCTCGCATCCTAAGCTACGTCTCTAGCTTACAGTACTTACACAAATGATTACTTGGTTTTTTATTTATAAATGTAGAGAGGGACGAAACATATATATTTTATAAATAAAGGTAAATGCAGCCACGTGTACAAATATAATCGTCTGTGTTTGGGAGAAAGGGCGAAAGCGCCATTTCGAAAAATCTTTCAGGGGAGAATGTTTTAGATGTTAACGACTATTTTAAAATTTAATTTTGGTTTTAATAATGCTTAAGTGTTAAAATTGAATTTAAAACAGGGCGTAAATATTTTAAAACAGTCGTGAAAAACTAAAACATGCAAACCTGAGATATTTTTCGAAATCGCGCTTTTGCCCTTTTACAAGACAACGACGATATAAAGCTGTACGTATTTAATTTTTAGTGGATCCTGTGTTCTACTACAATATAGTACCTAACAATTGATGCAATATTCAATCAAGGAAAAGATTATTATTGATATTGTACAAAAGTTCATTATTTGACGTACAAAATCTACGAGCATTCGAAACGATTTGTAGCTCAGATGGTAGAGTGGTAGCGGTTGGGACAACAGTAGCTGGTTCAAGTCCTGTCGGGTCGAAGAAATTTTTCTTTGTGTTTTTTCGATCTTTGTATTAATAATTATAGCAAACTAATGGAACCGTTTCATAAAAAAATTACAAATATCAAGGTTGTAGAAACACCATGATATTCAATGAAAAAATTGTAGAAATTCACATTTTTAAATCGATGTATAGTCATTTAATCAAGGCATATAGATATAGACAGAGTGTCAATATAACCATAAACATAGATGCAATATGTATGTATTGAAGAAATAGAGGATCAAGGCGCACGTGTGCGGAGCGGGCTTGAGCGAACGTGTGCGAGGCAAGAAATGAAATTGATGAACTTTTCTCGCAGCAATAATGGCTTTGGCACGTACCAACATAATTCCCGGCAAAACTTCCTCGCAGACCCTGTCTAAATGCAGGGCTGAGCCACACACAATCACGCTTCATATCTTCTTATCTTCATATGTATCTGTTAGTAAATATCCAGCAAAGAACAATCACTTTTTAAGAAATCATTAGCACTTATAAAACTGACACGGTCATAACAGTGATTGAAAATTATGTAATTTTCTGTTAATTTACTAATCGCTAGATAAGTGTAATTATCGCCCACCTCTGTGATTACTACTTACAATGTACCTAATCTCGGTTTGGCTGAAAATAACACCGAGTAGCGTAAGTTTTAAATATCACGACCTTACACAACCCAAATATATCAGGTAAGAAGGTATTTTAACTTATTTAATTTCCGAAAATCCTTAATTTTAGTCTTGGCAGCCCTGACACTAAGGACAGCGGACAGCGCGGGCGAAGAAGGGAGCGCACATCCAATATAAGAAGAGAACAAAATAGGTTTATGTCGGATACTTTGACCATTCGCCCGTAAAGTAACTTTGCTCTACCAGTGACGCCCGCAGCCTCATATCCTACGAACGTTTTTAATATAAATATACCTATATCATATATAGTCCTAGAAAGCATAAATGTATGTATGTATTTTTAAACGATTATACAGGTAATACGACATATTCCATAAACATTATTAAGCTCAAATTAAAGTTTACCTACGTTAAAATAACTTTACTATCGAGTTCATAACCAAAAGGAAATTACTCGTATCGTGCATTGACACGCCACACGACGTATATATGTATACATAAATAGCATCCAACCATTATCATTAGTGAATCAGTAATTTAGCGAGGCTGTGCCGCTACAGTTTACCTAATTCGAGACCTGCATCAAGTATTGAAGCCATGAGATGGCCGATGTCACCTGAGCCACTCTGATATTATTAGCAGCAGCATATCCTCGCGGGATTTACCTTATCTCAGTAACAACCCTTGATACTGTTACCAACTAATATAGTGCTATCTCGATATCAGTAAAATAGCAAACACTAATAATAATAATATAGATATAATAATAATAATAACAAAAAAGTCTAAAATAGATATCCAAAATAATAATAATAGTTCTCTATTCAAGACAACATAGGTCCACTTGTTAGTTTTATCGAAATCTTAGCTACTGTGTTAGTTTACAGTTCAATTTTATAAATGTGATTAAATAAAATACAATCAAAAATAAAAAATCAAATTGAAAATTTAAATAAAATAACATTAAAAACTGAAAATTGAAATATTATAATTAAACAACATTAAAATGTTTATATTTCAATAAAATAAAATAAACATCAAAATTGAAATAAGAGAATAAAATAAAAATTGCACCCTCAGCTTGATATACATTTTAATTTAAAATTTTGTATGACCATTTGCCATACCAACACGCCAACAAAATGCTCAAGCATGGGCTCTGCTATTTTACAACTAAACATTTTCAGAATGCTGTTGAAACTGCTACATGTTCTATGCAGTAAGGATGCTCTCTTCTTTCTCATCATGGTATGAAAGTCACCAGTCCACGCGCCTGCGATCATGCCAGAAGCACTGCAATGACGCAGTAATCCCAACAGCACTCTGAAGCCGTTGCTATACTGTACCTACACGGAAAGTGTCAAACATGTAAAACGTTTGGCACCAAGCTTTAAATAACGTTATCTTGACCTCGCTACTACAACGCGCGAACCTGTGGGCCAACATATTGCACCTAGCCGCTAACGCTCTACATTCTCGCTCAATGTCGGCATAATCTCAAAAACATAATGCCCTAGACATTCAAATAATTTCACTTGTTTAAGAAGTATATTATTTAGTTTGATGACAGCCGCTTTCTTTCTTCTTTCTCTAATTATTTTAATCTTTGAACTTGAATAAATACATATTAATAAAATTTTAAATAATAATGCAATATTTGTTAATTACAGACGCCTATTAATATTTGTTGAACTAGTACCCAGTAGTGTCGGTACAATGAACAGAAACTGGATCAATCGAAACTTATCACTTGTATAGGTATCGGTAGATATTGTTAGTAGTGTAGTCTAGGCTCTACTCTATGCGTAGAATCACTGGCTGAATGAATAATAGTAATAGTTTTGTAATTAGAATGTTTTGAAAAATGAAGTAAGAAAAGAATAGAGCATCTTGATATAACGAAATATAACCCAACGCCAAAAGCATGTAAAAAAGTGCAATAAAGTATATTTTGAAGATTATTCCAGTTTAAATTCATAAAAGTACCTCTCGCTACGCAACCCAAGCTACGCCCCAGTTACAAATGGTGGAGGCGCCGGGTATATTTCGAATGAAATGATATCTCCGAAGATATCGCGACAAACTTTGTCGCAGCAATCTCTTTCTTTTTGTCTTTGCTAAAATCACTTTGAATCTTTTACTTGACAATATCTATTGGATGTAATATTGACAGTGGAGCAGCGAACTAATCAATCAAAGCGCACAAAAGTGAAGCCAAAGTCACCACGAGCGCGCCGCTTAATCAGCGCTGACCGGCCGCCCTATATTTGCGTATGCAAAGAGCCAGCCACATTAACGATGCCATATAGCCAGCGTAGCGTGCTGCGATTGGGCAAACACATATCTGCATTATAAACAGCGTCCGAGAGCACAAACGCGCACTGTGGTCGGCCTTTACCGGTGCCGGCTAATCAACGGGCGGCCCCGACCTTCCGCAGCCGAACAAACGCTACGCCACACTCTGCCTACAACGCACAACACATAGTACACAGCACCCCTGCTGCAAAATTGTTAGTCCATCCTATTTACTTGATTTCAAAGTTCGTTCCTAATTACAGGAAGTTTCCACACGGAAAATATAATTTACATCCATAATTACAAATCACACACAAATAATTAAAAATAATAAATCCAAAATTAAAAATGTCAAATTTTTCCGACTTTAAAATACAAAATAGTAGACAGATGTAGTATATGATATTTCTCTAGTAAATAATATATTTATTTTAGTAGAGACACAACGAATACTAAGAAATTGTTAGCTCTAATCGTTAATAATAACTACTTGAAAAAAGCGAAATCTTAATGCGTTCTTGTTATAGAATCAGCGGCAGCATAACGTGAAAAGTAATAATTGGTCACATTAGCCACTTTACCTCGATATGTAATAAAGCAGAAATGATCATACCAAGTGTGTGTCTAACTGCATGCGTGCATGTGCAGTGAGTCGATTAAAACTTTCTACTTTCCACGTTCGTAGTCAGTGCACCCGCATTAACGGAAAATCTCGACACATTTCTCGGACTTCTCTCCACTAGACCGGGGAAAGAAAGCAGGTTACTGGTAATCATTGCCTACATTATTATTACCATTTTTTTAAATTTAATACTTATGAAATGATTACTAATTAATTTTCGCACTTACAAATCTACATCCATGGATCCTAAGGACAATGAAAAAGAAAAAAACTCACATCAGTTATCCTAAGTACATTTCGCTTGAAAAAATCTCTATGTAGAAGAAAAGAACTGGTAGGAACCACTGTAATTCCGGTACCGTTATGTAATTTTTCGCGACACGTAACTGATATCGTTTCCGCGACACTGCTTACTTACTCTGTGATTTCCTAATATGTCCCTCACTCTAATTAACCATTCGCTTGAATGGGTTTGCTGTGTTCCTTGTTTATAATTATTGCACAGAGTCATCGTCCAATTTATGGACTATGCCGGAAAATAAAACTCTATTACGTGTGACATTTTTTTATTATCTCTTACATCACTTTAGTAAATTAAATTACATTAAACATACAACCGTAGTCACAAATAAATAAATTACATTAAATAATTTACTGACATAGATTTAAGAACGTGAGTGGACGACCTTTTCGTCTTAGTAGGATGTCCACGATACGGACGGTACTTTGGTTTGAGGTTCTTTGTGTGGGTTTTGGCGCGGCGATGTCGTTTGACGAATGGCGATGAGCGACGGGTCGGAGTGGCGCGGGCGAGCCGACGATCGGTGCCCGCTGGCCGCTGCTCGGCCATGCTACGCGCTCGCGGTCGTCTGCTCGGCGTAGTACCGGTAAGGGTCCGCGCTTGCCTTCGCTGGCCTCACCACATACAGATTCCGCCTTCGAATTAAAGACTAGAATTAAAATATTTTTAGAATTAAAACATGCAACTATTATACAGTCTATTATTTATACTACTCAACGCATGTAGGACTTACCTATGGTGTCCATCTGCGTGCACCTGGAACGTAGTTTCACCCGTAGAACCGTCGTGACTGAACAGCTTCTTGAGGGCGATAATTCCAGCAATGGTCAATGCCACTTTACTGGCGATGAGGGCTTTGCCAGCGATAGCGGCCAGAGTCTTCAGGGCCATACCTCCTACGATGCTCACGGTTGTGAAGATACCGAGGAGCAGGTACGGTAGGACTTTCTTTCCTGCGCACGTATAAATTAAGTCATATAACTACCACACGAATTTCAAACAACTTCAAAAAACTTTTACACAAATTTTAAGTATAAGTTATTCATACCTCTGCCTCTGCCCTCTGTGAGATCCATAGATACGGTATGCGTGTTCATCAATTGCTCGAATTTAGTTCGGAGAAGTGTGTCGAGCTTATCTTCCGTAGACATGCCCGGCATAAAGCGAGGCTCAGAGACGGCGGCGGGTGTGTCGTACTGCTTCACAAGTGTCAGCCCATCCGCGAGCTGCACGCTCTCCTGTACAACACAACAAAATGTTAGACTTATCACACAATTCTTCACTACACACCCGAACTAAACACTGGCAAAGTCTGCACTTAATTCACCTGTTCGACCGCCCTCGTGAGAGCTGTGAGCGCCTTGCCTTTCAGACACATCGTCAAATGTTTCTGCGAACTGCAGTCGTCATAAACTTTCTGTAATACTGCGAACTCGGCTGAAGGCCACCAGCTGTCCTCGGCTCTTCCACTGTCGATTTCGTTCTGTGCGTAATCGTCGACGTCCATTCTGCGGGATCTTCGTGGTCCGTGAACATGGCCGCTTGCTACGACCACACAGATAACGGAGACAACGGCTATCCGGAAAGAGGAGCACATTTTGATACAAGTTCCACACACAGCACTAAAACTAACGATCGACAATGTAGGAGGGTGGTCTAGCGGCAACTGATGGCCGGCGGAGCGGGTGCAGGCTTATAACAGCGCGCCACTTCGTCGTCGAGCACCACCAAACATCCGCTATTCCGCACCAATTCTCCAGCACGCGCACTTACGTAACTGAACTTGAACATGATCGAGAACCATTTTCCAAGTGAATTTCTCCGATAAAATGCACGACAAAAAGCAAGACATATATCTGTTGCCAATTATGCCGTGTATTCTACATACATCGCGAATATGTGTGTGTGAAAAATCGTAATTACAGATGACTTTGCGTGCATCATGAGGACCATTCAGTCCCTCTTTTCACTTACGGGCGACCGATTTTGGTAGGCTGTGTCAGCGTCGAATTAACATTGTCTTATTTTGGCCCAATTCAGCGTGTGCGCAGGGTGTAAAGTGCTTAATTACTTAAACACCGATACCGGCGGCAGTACGAAAGTGGCAGCGCGGCAGCAACACGGTGGCGGCGAATCGGCGCCGCGATTTGTGTTTGGTTCGCGGTACGGATGGATAGCGTGGCGAGGATGTAACTAAAATAATGTGAGTCACACAACATGCATAAGGAACTGTATCTAACAACTTGCATAAAGAAAAGTAAAAGTACCGAACGCACCGAACCGTGCCGACTGATTATTTGATGTTAATTGGAAAAAACTTGAAAAATGTATTGTATAGTAAAGCTATCAAAATACAACATTTCATACAGATGACGGACACAATATATTTATTAGAAATTAAATATTTGCTTAAGAGTTAATTACAGTTAGTTATAGTTAAGCGGGAGAGTGGCGGTTTTGTAAAGAACTGTCCCAATATCAGATGCTACTACTGTACTGTATTATTTTCATATAAGAAATTTTGTATCTGAGCCATATCTGAGCCCAAAACTTACCGTTTCTACAAAGCACCTACCTGATAACATGACCAATGGCAGTGTCTCCTTTGCGCCAACTTACATATAGAATTAAGAGCGAATTATGTGGTCTGTGAGTGAAATAAAAGTACCTAGTAGTGGATGTATATAAATAGATATAACTGCACAGGTTCCAGGTTCGATTCCCGGGCCGGGAGAAACATTCGTATGGCCTACATTTGTTTCTCTCGTGAGTTTGGGTGGACATTGTGGTTGTCTATGTGTTTGTCCATGGCACCCGCGACACAGGGCTTCCGGATTCGCTCTGGATCTTTTGGAGGGAAAATTGTCGTTTTTATTTTGACTTTCAATTATTTTGTGAAATCTAGTTTGAAGTGGAATAGGATAGTGCTATTGTGCCTTAATCGAAGATGAAAACGCGAAATTATACGAATCTCGAACTAGAATACCCGTATCGGCCTGTTTTAAGGAATCCCGAGTCAATCCAAGCACGCCGCCTCAAATTGCCTATCATCTTTGTGGCGGCCATATTTACAGAAACATAATTAAACTTCATGTTTAGGCTGATGGCTTTGCCAAAGCCTTAGTAAATTAAAAAAAAACACAGGGCTTCCCTAGTGCAGCGCTATGTTGAGTGTATGCGTTATTATTGTTATGATATACATACATGGGTACGTGCCTAATAATGTTGCGAAAATAACTTTTAGGCTTTGCGGATGATATGAAGATTATAGCGCCTATTTCTTTGGTGCCTGTGCAATCCTGCTTCAAGAGGACCTTATGAGGCTCGACACCTTCTGCACCGATAACCAGCTTGACCTTAATCCGTCTAAGTGCAACGTCGCCACTTTCCGCCGCAAAAGTAAGTTAGTGCATTTCAAGTACTCATTGAAAGATACTAAATTACAATGTGATGCTGTGGTAAGGGATCTTGGTGTGCTTCATGATCATAAGTTGCTATTTGCTTCGCATGTAGACGCCATTATTTCAAAAGCCTCCAAACTCTCGGGTTTGTGATGCGTAACTCCAGAGATTTCAGACAAAAAAAAAGGCAAAGACACTAAGGGTCGTATTCCAGAACTGTAGGTACTCAATGCTCAAGGCAGAATTTGAGCAGACTTGAGTATGATTTCAAGCACTGGAAATACGACTCTAATGGCAAGGACTTCAGTATGATTTCTAGTGCTTTGAATTATACTCAAGTCCTGACTTGAGCATTGAGTAGAGTTCTAGAATACGCACCTAAGGGTCGTATTCTAGAACTCTACTCAGTGCTCAAGTCAGGATCTGAGTATTATTTCAAGCACTGGAAATACGACCCTAATGGCAAGGACTTGAGTATGATGTTAAGTGCTCACTGCAATACTCAAGTCCTGACTTGAGCATAGCATCCCTTAGGGTCGTATATATAGAGTAGAGTAGAGTATGTATAGAGTTCTGGAGTACGACCCTTAGGGTCGTATTTCAGAACTCTACTCAATACTCAAGTCAGGATTTGAGTATGATTTAAAGCACTAGAAATCACACTTAAGTCCTTGCCATTAGGGTCGTATTTCCAGTGCTTGAAATCATACTCAAGTCCTGACTTGAGCATTGAGTAGAGTTCTAGAATACGACCTAAAAATGTTATATTGCTCATTTGTCCGCAGCCACCTGAAATACGCATCGCGGGTCTGGAGCCCCCAATACCTTACCTACATATCGCGTATTGAAAATGTGCAAAAAAGATTTACTAAGTTTTTATGTTCTCGAAGTAGGGCGCGGTACGAGCTTGTAAAACCGGTATCTTGATATATGTAAGAAACATCATCTTTTGCCACTAGAGGTACGACGTCAGACAGCAAACCTAGTATTTTTGCGAAAAATTGCTTCTGGCGCCGTGAACTCCCTAGAACTCGTGTCCACGATTTCTCATAGAGCCCCTAAAAAGTCCCTTAGGTTTAATTCGCTTGCTTTTGTACGTAATTCTGGCCTCTTCGAGTTTTTGGCGGAATGCATATCGCTAACGTGTGAGTAATAGCTTCAATGAATTGTCCAAGCAGGTTGATATTGACCTTTTTAACACTAATGTTGCATCGGTGAAGTCTTATTAGTAGTTTGCATTTTGGCGAGTAGGTAATTACTAAGTGTTGCGAAAATGTATATGCTATAGTTAGTAGTTATATCGTTAGAATTTAATGCTCATTTACTTAATGTGTGTCTATTGGTGAGGACCTATATATGTATGTATGTATATATATATATATATCTCTTCCGGGTCGCTTTTGAGTAAATGGAAAATAGACTTCAGACAAAAATTGACACCGTTGACTTAAGATCTTTAGTTATGACCGACACATCCACGTCATCCTCAGTCGGGAAATGCTCAGGTGAACAGCAGGAGCAACGCATGCAATTATTCAAAGTGTTTAATCGTTACATGGGAGAAATTTTACACGTAGAAGTCACACTTTACAAGATAGACTTGCAGAGATAAGACTGAAAAAATCGTAACAGTTTTCAGTCAAAACTTATCCCGGTGCAGACATAGGGTCGGATCACAACCCTGTTGTAGAGATTCTCAAAGTAAAACTAAAGAAAGTTTAAAAACAAAAACCTCAAAAGTTAAATACAATTACTTAGGTACTTATACTATTTTATCTATTTTTTTATTTATACTATTTTATCTATTTTATTATAATGTAACTATTTTATCACTTAGCCGAGTTTTAGTTAGTGGAGGGCAGAATGGTAATAGTGGAAGACCACCTATCCAAAAAAAATTGAGATCAAACGTGATGTAAGGTAAAGGCGCATATTATCTTACCAATTTTATTTAATGTACATGCTGAGAAAATAATGGCGGAGACTCTACGTGAAGCGGAAGAAAGTACAGTGATAAACGGAGAAGTCATTAATTACTGAATAAGCGTATTATTAATAATACTCTACGCAGACGATACGATACTGTTCGCGGTCCAACAAAAACTGCTGGGTCGTGTAAATGTAGCCAGTAACAACTATGGCTTAAAAATCAACACAAAAAAACTAACTTCATGATCGTCTCGAAGACCCTAGTAGCGGACGAATATTTGACTTTAGGAAATAATCCATCAAAACGCATAAACCAATTTAAATACCTGTGTAGCTACATTAATGAACATTGGTATAGCGTACAAGAAGTTCGTATTCGCCGAACAGGCACGAAGTGGCTTCATACCATTGAAAAAGATTTTGTGTTGTAGATGGTTCAACCTCAAACTCAGCATGTGTATGGTCCGCGTTGTCTTCAGTGGCTTCTTTATTGGTATGGAGTGTTGGACCTTGACTCCAGCATTATGCTCAAAACTGGAGTCCTTAGAGATATGGCTATTATACAGACGTGCTTGGCATATCTTGGGTCCAAAAGATCGCTAATCTTGATGTTCTACGTCGAATTGGGAAAAGGTTGGAAATACTCACAACTGTAATGGAAACGGCTGTATTTTGGGCAAGTAATGAGGGACAATACATACCGGATTTTTCAACTAATAATGCAGGGGAAAATCCGAGGAAAACGTAGTCGTGGTAGACGGAGAACCTCTTGGTTGAACGATCAAAGAGACTGGTTCAATCTTAGCACACGTTCCCCCGTTCGTGCGGTAGCTTCAAAAATAAAGACAGAGACATGATAGTCGCGATAAGAAGCGGCAGACTAAGAAGAAGAATATGAACCAGTGATGGGACCTATGACATAATTAACTTAACGTTATAATATCACGGCAATAACTGAAATCAGCTCTATAATTCGTTAATAGGGTCCGCCATACGAATAATGGTAAATACATAGGGCGCACTATAGGTTTCCAGAACTGGCCACTTACATAAACAATATTTAAAAAGCAATTACAACATTTGAAAATGCAACTCTTTAGCTGTAGAATACAGTTTGTTTCATCTGGCTGTCACTTGTTTTTACATTGTGGCGTCATTTTAGGAATTGGTTGTCTACATCACCATGGACTTAACTCGTCAAAATTTTCGTAGTATGATTTTCTACGATTTTAAGTGTAATTTATCAGCTCAACGGAGCTTCGCTCGGCTTCAGACTGCTTTTGGCGATAAAGCAGATTGCAAGACGACTATTTATAGCTGGTTTGCAGAATTCAAACGCGGTCTTGTTAATCTCAGTGACGAATTTCGTGATGATCGCCCGTCCACTTCTGTGAACACCAAAAACATCGATACTGTGCGCCGTATGATCAAAACAGACAGGCATGTGACATACCATGAGATTCGGGCATCTTTAGGCATAGGCATAAGTTAAATACAATCAATATTACACAAACATATGGGTGTGAAAAGGCTGTGCTCTCGGTGGATCCCACACAATTTGACTGAGGCTCAAAAAACCTCGAGGACCGCGTCACTTGGTGACACACAATGCCGTGCTTAGCAGATTCAACGAAGGGGCGTCAAATTTTGTGTGGGACATAGTAACAGGTGACGAAACATGGATTTATAGTTACAATCCCGAAACAAAGCAGCAATCGAGAGGATAGGGTCTTTCGAGATGAACCGAAACCAACCAAAGTAGCGCGCGTGCAAAGTGCCTCTAAAAGGATGATTGCTTCTTTTTTGATTAAAACTGGACACGTGGCTACTGTTGCTTGGATAATCGTTGTACCGTGAATAGTGATTGGTACACGACCATTTGTTTGCCGGAAGTTATTGACAAACTCCGCAAAAATAACCGTAAATGCCGTATAATTTTGCACCACGATAATGCCAGTTCTCACACGGCCAGACAGACAAATGAATTTTTGAAGGTGAACAACGTTGATCTTATGAGCCATCCCGCGTACAGTCACGACCTGGCACCTTGTGACTTTTATTTATTTCCAAAAATTAAGAACCAGTTACGCGGTCAACGATTTTCATCACCTGAAGAGGCTGCCGAAGTGTATGGAAAATATGTTTCAGAGATTGTCACGGAGGAGTGGCATAAATGTGTTCAAAATTGGTTCATTCGTATGCAAAAGCGCATTGACGCTAACGGAAAATATTTTGAAAAACAATAATTTTATTTCTGGCCATTTCTAGCATTTTTTTCTAATTCATTCCGGAAACTTGTAGTGCCCCCACGTATAGGTGTGGCGCCACTACTTCTTAATTTTCAGTTTAATTTCCGTAGATAACTAATAGTATATTTTACACGTTTAATAAAATTTCTCCAAAAATGTATTTTTCAATGTATCCCATCACAAACTTATTTTTCCGGCAAACGTAACTTTATCGTATTAAGTTGTAAAAATAAATAGTATAATAATATTTCTAGTGAATTTACTCAACAGAGGTGCATCAATGATTTAATTACCGTGTGTTAATGGGTAGTAACGTACATAATCTAAATTTTTATTGTTTTGCCGTGTTTAAAAAATAATATATAATTTGTAGGACGCTGCTACAAATTTACGTCGTCATAATTTTGTTGACCTGTCATTCTAATCAAACTAAATTTTACAGACTTAGTTGCGATGACGGGTGTCAATTCGGGCCTAATTAGATTGTTATGAACTAAGTTCTCATATTATAACTAAACTTAGATCTACCAAGATCACTGGATCTACCTTCATGATATATAAACTCTAATATAAGAAACGTAGTAAGTACTTTCCTGCACATAATAATAAATAAAATACCTACTAATGGTCACGTACTTAGGTACTTTATTTCACTTGTGTTATCTATATCTATATCTTTGAAATATTCATTGTTACAATAAGCGCTACGAATAAAAATATTTACTATCTCAATTCAACGCCAGAAAATCACTTTGGTACAATCTGTAAAATTACAAGTCCATAACATTTTTATATGCACAGACGATTGATCTAAAAAAAAATCTTACGTATTTTGTGGGTGATAGCGATCTATTTGACAGAATGCTAAAATATTAATATTGCTTTATATTTCAAAATAATAAATTAAATCAGGATGTAGAAAAATACAATAATCATAATTTGCTTGGAAAAAATTGTAAAATGTTAGAAAATATTTTTTTCCGTAAATCTATAGGGTTGAAATGATATTTACTATTGAGATCGTACAAAATAAACAAATTATATATATGATTCAACAGATCCATCACAAAATGTTTTCAAGCTAAAAAACATAGCTAATTTTTACGCGCAACGCAACTAGCATACGACCAACTTAGAACATTATTATACCGTCTTCTTAGATGACGCCTATAGGAAACATGATATAATCTAGTAAGAACGAAACTATATAGTTTCGTATGATTCCAGATGGAACAGGAACGAAAACTTCATGAACAAACTGATTACTTAGCTATTAGGAAGCTAATAGTAACTTAACAATTTCATCATTTGGAACTGATTTATGCATAGCGTGATCCCGTTCCAGCGTCCATCCGGTAACCGCCGTGCAGTGGATGCGTTAATGACTCGCGCATGACACACTGACGTTTTTCACTAGGTACGAACTATGAGCGTCACGTGCTAATAGATATCATCAACATTTTAATAAGAAATTGTGAGCTTCGTCATACGGCGCGGCGTCTAGGAAGCAAAATATATACTGCTTGAGACAACGAAACACATTTTTACTACGGAATACGTCAATAACCTTTTTAGAAACTTGAAGTATAGTCTAGACAACATGTTTATATTAGCATGTAGTCACTTAAGACTGAAATAAAATTTTATTTCAAGTAAAATTAGTCTGAAGATAAAACTTAAATATATCCTCAGACCTACTATATAGGCGTACAACAAAAGATAGGCACTTAGGTACTCGTTAAGTTTCAAATGTGCGGGTGCTTAAGTACCCACAGTTAAGTGTCAAAATAATCTACGTAGCGTTTAATTTATGAAAAACATATGAACATTTTTGAAAAAATCTACTTTATCTCAAATAACAATTACGATAAGAGTGCACTTTAGATGAAACAGAAATTCAATTGAAAACTATTAACAGCTAACTCAAAGTCGACTTACTGTAGGTACAATTGGGTAATTTTCCGAAATATTCCAAATAGTGGAAATTTTTCTGGAAAAATATCCGAATAATTAAAAAAATTGAAAAATATTGGCAAAATATAATTCGAGGCTCATATTACGCTCTTCATTTAGAAATATCATTTTATTCATTCATATAAATAAAACTGATATTTCTAGCCATATGAAATTCATAAGAACAGGCGAACAAAATTTGACACATTATCCGACGTCGACAAGCTCCCGATGGCGACTGACGGGTCAGCGGATGACGCAGCGCGTCCTTAAACCACTGGACAATTTCCAAATTTGAGATAAATGTAAATATAATAACTACTGGGCATCGGTTGAAAACCAAAATTTAGCAGGTTCTCTGTAGTACTTAAAGTGAAATATCTCCATTTAAAAATTATGTACAACGTTAGATATTTTAATCTTCAACAATTCGTTTTAGACTTTTATTTTAGCCTGTTTTCGGGATTTTATATGATCGGGTGAAGTACATCGTATCGTGTAACAAATTACACATTATTTGGACAATATCCCTTGGTGTATCGTAGGTATATTTTTTATGAGACCATTATTTAATAGTAAATACCTAAACAATTTGATCTAACAATACAGTTTTTCCCGCTTCTCCTTCTGTGACTCGCCTTAAACCGCTGGGCAATTTTCAACTTTTGGGATAAGTGTGAATTTAGTAACCGTTAGGACTTCAGTTGAATACCATAATTTAACAGGGTCTCTGTATTGTATGTACTAAAATATCTCCATAAAAGAATATGGGCAGTTAAATACATTGATAAATAATTCCTTTTAGACTTTTATTTCAGCCTATTTTCGGGATTTTATAAGATCGGACAAAGTAAAACCCGTCGTTTAACGAATTAGCACACTCATTAGACAATACCTTTAGGTGTATCGTATATTCAAGAAGAAGAAATCATTTGATGTAGCAACAGTTTTTCCGCTCTTCTCTCTTCTCGCCTTAATATTCAATCATGACACTGACAGTACCTACTATTTATTGTAATCAATGCAACAGGATTTCCACGTCCATAGACAATCCTCGTCAGGATAAGAGTTCACAGTTCACGTAAATCGGCCTGTCTTACGATTAATATAGTTTTATACATTTGTGTTCCTCAAATTTTAAAAATTTTCGCATGTATACGATGGTAAATATACCTAAATAACACACAGTCTGAGTACCTGTTAATTAACTCGGTTAGATTGCATGAAATTAATCGGTGGGTAGCTCCCCGCACAAACGGAAAATATGTGGGTGTATGTATCGCTTTTATTTCCTATAGGCGTAAGATTTCGCGGAAAACATTCGCAATTCGTGCACGACTGAAGACGGTGATTCAAAGTCAGCATAATCATGGTAAAATTACTCGGTTAAATGTTCGCAAACTAGCGCCATCTATACGAAGATATCAAAATTAACACGTCTATTAGTATGGTAGCGTTTTTGTCGTACTCAGTCTTACAACTAAAACGCGACCCGAAATGCCAAAATCAGCGCAAGTTCGACAAGCTATTAACATTATGTCGTGTCGTCAATATTTCTGAATTGTTCTTTCGTATTGGTGCAGGAACACACTCTGATAAATTTTCAATCAGCTACAATTTCGACTTTAATTTTGTAAAATAGTGGCTGCAGCTGTGTTTACAAGGTAGTGAAATAAATTACATGGTTATTTTGAGGTTAATGAACGTACTGTTTAAATCAGGTGGCTATAGTAATACAAAGCAACAGATGACTTACATTCATAAATGCCAAGAATCTTACTGAGGAGGTTGTATTGAAATGTTACAGTCTATAATTATTCCAGGTTATTTCATAAGGAAATAATGAAAGCTGAAGAACTTTCTTTCATTGGAGGCGATCCGGGTGCAACAAAGTATGGCAATTTTATCAACTACTACTCCTTTCACAGTACAAAAGAAAGAACAGACTGCCTTCATCCAGACATGTTTGTATCCTCAATAACAACACAACCTATACTCTGCTTAGACATTGGATGCAACACAGGAGAACTCTCTAAAGACATCTATTTATATTTAAAAAATATCTACCCAAAGTATGTTATAAAAATGTTGGGTATTGATATAGATCCAACATTAATACAAAGAGCCAAAGAAACAAACGACAATCCTAACATAAACTTTACAGTAGCTAATATTATGAATGAAACAGATAAAGAAGTCATAGAGAAATATCTTGAGTCCCATGAGAAGAATAAGTTTGACATAACATTTTGTTTCTCAGTGACTATGTGGATTCATATTAACAATGGCGATGAGGGTTTACTATATTTTTTAAGCTTCATTCAGGACATATCGGAAACAATAATTATAGAACCACAACCTTGGAAGTGTTACAGAAACGCTCAGAGAAGAATGAGGAAATCTGGTAGTTCATTCCCATTATATGAACAAATAAAGATTAAAAATATTGACATAGTTATTGAAAATATTTTAAATAAAGACCCTTTTAAAAAAGTGTATGAATCTCTTGCTACTGCATGGAATAGAAAAATACAAAGTTATCAAAGAGTTCTAGAACAATAAAATTGGTAAATAAGTTTTCTATGCAGCACCTGCTAATAACAAGGATTTCTCAAAAACAGAGCAGATACATACATAGTACACAAAAGTTTAATTGATATGAAACATATGCAGGTGAATTTGTATGACAGCTGTAAGACGCTTAAAGTGTGGAACTTGTTATTAATTTCTAAACATTGAAATAAATATAACAAAATACAAGAAAGTACATAATATGCATAATAATTACTAACAGTACAATATGCTGTAAGAATGCAGAAAAGGTTTATTCCTCTTAAGTGAGCAAGTCATTTTGTAGCCTGTTGCATGAACACATCATATTTTATTGCCTATCATTTATTTATTTTTGTATATATTTTGTATGTGATTGCAGTAAATTGAATTCAATATAAATGTAATATACTTTGCTATGAAAATAACATATAAAATGTTACAATAACTTCTTACCAACTTATTTATTATCCTAATTGCATAGACTAATAAATTATTACAAACATTATGTGATGACCTCCTCAGTGCTGGATTCAAACTCTAACTTCACCTCATTGCTAAGACCTTCCACATCCATCTCTGACTCACGGGCATTCAGCATGTTTAGTGTGACCTGAGAAAAGATATTTTAATATATTTCTTTGTATTCAGTATCTTAGGTCTATATGAATTTACAACAATGTATAATTGCATTTATTGATTTCCAAATTATAAGATAGCATAGAAGTTATAAATTAACGAAGCCGTGGTAGCTTAATAGTACTGCCTCTCAAGCAGAGGTCGTGGGTGCAAATCCGGGTTCGCATCGAATTCGCTCGCAGGCTCGAATTTATGTGCGAAATTTAATATGTACTATGAGCTTTTCAGTGAAAGAAATCACTGTGATGAAACCTGCACGTCAAAGAAGGTTGACAGACAGACCCTCGAAAAACGTGTGAAGTTCCCAAACCGAATTGGCCCAGCGTGACTAACTCTAAAAACCCTCAGCTGAGGGGGAACCCGTGCCCATCAGTGGGACATATAAACATAAATATATATATAGTGGGTTAATGTTATTGAGTGACAGTATTTTTAAGGCCAGTAAGGGGTAAGACAGGGGTTTCCAACTATTATATTTTCCAACACCTGTATCTACAACTCCAAAATTCGAAAAAAGTGCATTGTCTTGTTGGGTTTATAGCATGTAATCAAAATGGTTTTAGCACATTTTATATTGTGTTATAAAACTGATATTGAATATTTTCTTTGATAGTTACTCCCAATTCAACAATTAATTATAAATATTTACTTAAAATGACTACTAATATACATTATTCTACTGAAAGGCCAAATTTGCAAGCAATTATTATCTGTGCTTCATAGTGAGGGACCCACCAAGTATATCCTTATACATTCTATTTGGTTGCAATTTTAATTAGTAAGACTGCATATAACCAACCAAGTCTATGCATGAAAAGAAACAAAACAAAAAAATAATGATATGTGTGTGTCAGAGATTGTCTATCTTGATTTTTCATTACATTTAACAGTCATAAATTTCTCTTCAAAACAGGTATTGCCATTGTGGTTAGAAAGGCCGGATTGTAACTAATAAATCTATGAAACCTGTTGCGACATAGGTGGTAAATGAACATTATGCTGCTGCTGACTGGCTGTGGGTGCCTGGGTTGTCACAACTCTTTCTTCTACCACCTTCCTCTTCACTGGAGTTTTGGATTGGGAACTGAAAAATGTATTATATTCATAATGTGCATTATGCAAATAAGTCAAGAACCTTAAAAGGAGCGTTTGCTGCCTTAACTCTTCCGTCGCAGCGTTCGCAGATCCGAGACGGACCCATTTCTGGTTCTTGTGGATGGCCAATTAACTTCCGCATGTCAAAGAGTTAAGTTACACTTACTGAAGTATTCATTTTGGTTAAGTACACTAATCAAGCTACACACATTTTACTTTTACTCAATTGGGCTGTATTTTTTCATATGTATATGTATGTTACACGATAATTCTGGCATTTGTGAACCGATTTTGATAAAAAAATTGGGGGACGAATCTGGTTTCACGCAGTTTGCGGTAACCAATTTCAATAAAAGTTGGCAAAAAGATTTAATTCCACAAACTTTTCATGTCTGTTTTTTTAGTAGTGGTTAGTCGGTCTCGGTACTGACATTATTAAAATATTGAAAAACAATTACAAAAGCAGTAAGTTGTACACATTCCAATTTAAAATTTTAACGGTTTGCTTAACTAGTTGTGGTCTGTCGTACTACAAAACTTTTACGACCTCCATTTATTATACTTAACCACTTCGGTATATATACATTTAAATATATATATAGTTGAGTCTGAATGTATACCTGGGTGAGCGTAAACCTTACCCTGGCAATTGTTCTGCCATAGGATGCAACAACATAGTCATTTCCGCGAGCTTGTTAAACGCTGCTCCAGCCTCAGTAAATATCTCTCCAACCTGCAGTCACAAATAAAAATAGAAAATAAGATCAACCCTCAGAGACCCGAGGTAATAT